TGGAGGTGAGATGGGAAGGCAGAGAGGGTTAGGAGCTGGTTCAATGGACATGGGGAATCAGGGGTGGAAAGGAGTGTGCTGTCATAGTATGGGGAGAGCAATTAGGGTCACATAACAATGTATGTATAAATTTTTGTATGGGAGATTAACTTGAAATGTAAACTTCATTTAAACTACAACAATAAACAAAAAAAAAATGTTCATAAAATACACCTCAACAAAGCTGTAAAAAAAAAGGACACTGACAAGGAAAAGTCAATGGGATCAGCAGTGGCCTACGGTGGCCTAGACGACTGAGTGTGCAGGAAAAGGAATTGGAGCTCCCTGGAGGTTGCTTTGCCCATGGGGAAAGGAGCCTCGGCCTGCTTCTCTGCTCCTCCGAGCAACTGGCAATCCAGAAGCAATGCACATCATTTCTGGCCATACATCAGGAGAATTAGCTGAAGTCAAAAACCCACCTTGATTTACAGGAAAAGAACACTAGAAACGTGGATTTCAAAGAGGCTGTCCTTTGGCCCGGAACACTATAAGAAGAAATCCATCAACTCAAGCCTGTACAGAGAGAGACTTATACCACCCTTGGGATGAAAGGTCCAGATCTGGCAGCCAGGAGGTTTGGGAAAGTCACTCACTATAGAGAAAGTCACTGATTACATTTCACTGGACCACATTCGTGTCAGCCTCCCAGGGGAAATCAGGCAACAAGATCTCCAATCTGTTTCTACGGCCATCGAATGGACAGACAAATCTGCATCCAGCCTCAAGTGGTCACAGGGGACCTGCCCTCTTAAGGAAAGAGAGGAAAGGGATAAGAGAGGTCCCCTGCAGCAGGAACAAATTCAAACAGTGAATACACAAAGGGAGCAAGCTACAAATCGGTGCAATACCACTTTGGAAAACCTGGCTGTTTTATATATGAATGACCTGAAAAGATCACAGGGGATAAGATAAGCAGAGTTCAGAAGCATCACTCAACACTTCTCCCTGTCAGCTATGTCGAAGGGATGAAAGGAGAGACAAGTCCTCTAGACAGAGTGAGAGCACCTTCCTTGGAGAGTGTTCTGAGGGCTAGTGAGATGATGCACAGAAAGTCTCCAGCACAGAACCTGGCACATGGTAGCTCCTCTGCCGGGTCAGCCATTAGCATTCGAGTATAAGCAAAGAACTGAAAACAACCAAAATGTCTACCAACAGAAGAAGACTGAGATAAATTATGATATAGCTATACACTGGAATACCATACAGCCATTGTTTAAAGGCACCTCTGGGTATGCACTGAGTTAGAAAGATGCCCATGATACACTAAGTGACAAAAACAAGGTGAAGAACTTTATGGATAGTAGGAGGGCATTTCTTAACAGAGGTTATATTTATGTACATATGTGCAACATACGTGTACACATACACATTCATACACACACATACTCACTTAGGAAAAAGCCTAAAAGGCATACACCAAACCATTTACAGCTATCACCTAAGATTACAGTGGAGGAGAGAGGGGAACTCTTAGTACTTACTCTTATACTCTTGAAATTGCTAAATGTTTTGTGATTTTTTTTTTTTTTTAATATAAAGAAAAAAAGGCTGGTTCAACTTCATATGTCAATGTAACCAACTTTCCCTGAAAATGTAACCATGGAAGTGACCCTTCAATGTCTTTGTTCCTTCTTTCCCCCAACCACTCATTCAGCTACAACAATGTGTTGAGGCCAACTAGATCTAAACCTGGTACGAGAAGCTGGGCCTAGGCCCTGCCCTGGAAGAGCTTACAATCTAGGCCTGGAGGTAGGCAAGAAAATCAGTGATGACTAACATAATGAGATCCGTAAGAGAGTGCCTACAGGGCGCTACGGGAACAGAGAAGAAAAACATAAAAGAGCTAGCCAAAGAGATGAGTGTGAGAAGAAGAGCAGGACTAGGCACAGAGTTGTGAAGGGTTGAGAACATCAGACCTAGATGTTGGAACCATCAGACAAGGACTTTAAAATATGTGTGATTAACATGCTAAAGGTCTAGTGGAAAAGTTAGACATGCTTTGAACAGTTAAGGAATTTCAGTAGAGAAATGTAAAACAAGTCCAAGGAGAAGAGAGAAAGAATAAGGAAGAAGAAATATTTGAAAAGATAATGGCTGAGAATTTTTCGAAATTAATGAAAGATAATAAACCATAGATCCAAGAAGCTCTGGAACCCCAAACAGGATAAATTACACACACACACAAACACACACACACACTCCTAAGCGTATCACTGACAAACTGCTAAGAGCCAAAGATAAAAAGAAAATCTTTAAGGCAGCCAGAGAAAATGACACACTACATACAGAGGAACCAGAATAAGAAGCACAGCTGACTTCTCATCAGAAACTATACAAGGCAGAAGATAATGCAACGTCTTTCAATTCCTAAAATTAAAAATAAAACTAACACCTCACAATTCTATACCCAGCAAAAATCTCTCTCAAAAATGAAGGTGAAATACAGACTTTTTCAGACAAGCCAAAGCTGAGAGAATTCATGGGCAGCAGTCTTGTACTAACAAGAACTGTTAAAGGAAGTTCTTCCGGCAAAAAAACAAAATCAGACCCATTGCCATCGAGTTGATTCTGACTCATAGCGACCCTATGGGACAGAGGAGAATTGCCCCATTGGGTTTCCAAGGTTGTAAATCTTTACAGAAGCAGATTGTCACGTCTTTCTCCCACAGAGCGTCTGGTGAGTTCGAACTGCCAACCTTTGGGTTAGCAGCCAAACCCTTAACTGCTGCACCACCAGGGCTCCTTCAGGCAAAAGGTGTATGGTATCAGCTGGAAATGTGCATTTACAGAAAGAAATAAAAAGCACCAAAAACGGTAAAAATGATGATAAATATAAAAGATATTTTTCCTACTTTTATTTTAAAAGATAGCTGACTATCCAAAGCAAATATAGTAACAGTATATCACGGGGTTTGTAACATATATAGAAGTAAAATGCAGGATAACTGGAGCACAAAAGATGGAGAAGGAAATGGAATTATATTGTCATAAGGTTTTTACACGATATGCAAAATGGTATAATTTTATTTGAAGGTTTGCTGTGATAAGTTAAAGAAGTATACTGTAAACCTTAGACCAATAAAAATTTTAAATTAAAAAGAAAAAAGATTTAACTATAGGTCAATATAGTAAAGATGGAACTATAAAAAATACTTTTTAATTTTTAAAAAATATTTAATTTCTTTTTAAAGGCAGAGGGTGAAAGAAGGGAACAAGAATGAGACAAATAGAAAACACATAGCAAGATGGTAGATTTAGACACAACCGTATAAATCAAAGAAACCCTAATTAAAGGGAAGGATTGGAAGACTAAATATCGTACAGATGTCAATTCTTTCCAAATTGATTTATATATACAATGCAATCCCAATGAAAATCTTAGCAGGTGTTTTCTAGAAATTGATGAATTGATGCTAAAATGTATTTGGAAATGCAAAGGGCCAAGAATAGCCAAGACAATTCTGAAGAAGAACGAAGTGGGTGGACTTACTCTACCTGCTATCAAGACTTTTGATCACAAAGTCACAGTGATTAAGACAATGTGTTGTGGTGCTGGTGCTACGACAAACAGACCAAAGAACACACTAGAAAGTCCAGAAATAGACCACACATGTATGGACCCTTGATTTAAGACAAAGGTGGCACTGCAGAGCAGTAGGCAAAACACAGTATTCCTAATACATGGTGCTGGGTCAACTGGACACCATACGGAAGGAAACAAAACCTGACCCCTACCTCACATCAGACACGAACAACAAATGCAATTCTAGGTGCATCGTAGATCCAAATGTGAGAGGGAAAACACTAAAACTTCTAGAACATAATACAAGAGAACAGCTTGGCGGTCTTCGAGCAGGTACACATTTCATATACAGGACATGTAAAGCGCTAACCATAAAAGAAAAGAAAAGTGACAGTGAGCTACGTTTAAATTAAGAAGTGTTCATCGAAAGACAGCATTCAGAGTGTCTCCATTTTCCATCTGTAAAATGGCGATAATAATTCGACTTACCCATTAACCCTGTTGGGAGCTTTCTGAGTCAACAGCTGTAAAGGACTCAGGCCTATGCTTGGCACAGAATCCAAGTAGGAATTGACTCAATGGCACACAACAAGTGATTGGAAGGTAAGGAAAGAGCATCCATGAGGATCATCTAGTCTTTACAGGAATAGCGGCAGCCAAGCGGAGACGTGAGGGAGGGATGTAGTTAGAGAAGCTCGGGGGACTGTACAGAACGAGAGGTGCACCAGGAAAGCGTGTGTGGACCAGGAGAGAAGGAAGATGCCGAAGACAGAGGGCACACCTGTGGAGGTGAGGCATCAGGTGGGGATGGTGGGCCAGGCACAAGGGCTAGACAAGAAGAGAGACACCTGTCCTTCAGAGACGGGGTAAGCATGCTGTCAGATTCAGGTATGCATGGGAAGATCATAAATTGAAAGGGCTGCCTTAGTTTCTGCTTTCTTCATCAAGAACTAGTCGAGATCATTTGCTAGAAGGAAGAGCCACAGTTTGAGCCTGGAGTGGAATCTCGCCAGCACCATCAGGAGGGACAACACAAGAGGGCAGGACAGGTTGCCACAAAGGTCCCTGCAGCACTGCGGTGAAAACGCACAACGAGCAAACCAGGCTTCCAACCGATGCTTCTGCGTGCGTCTCAGTTAAGCGAAGCACTGCACTCTCCCAAGTACTGTATGCGTGAAAGAAACCCAGTTAGCAATCCTTATTATTTAAACACCATTAAGTTTCATCACCATTTCCTCCCTGGGTTACCAGGTGGTCAGTAAAACAGTCACAAAAATAACGGAAAAACCTAATAAAATGGGGCCATTCAAACAGAATGCCAGCATCCTGGAGACAGTCCGAATCCGACTTCATACCTGAGTCCCCCCGAAGCCGTCACAGAGAAGTAATCATCCACCCAGCAGAGGGCTGTGACTGCGTGTGTGGCTCGCACGCTTACCGGTTGAAGATGTTGTCACTGAACGCATACTTTTCCAGGCGAGTGAGTGGAGGCAGGTTATCCTGGCCTGGGATGTCCAAGAAGGCGGTCACTCTCATGCTATCACAGTCTGGAGCACAGTCTTCAAACCCATCTAGAGGGAAGGAGGAAAAAATGAAAAATCAAACACACATATAAGTGTGCATCAGTTGTGAAAAGTCACACTTGGGGAGATGTGGCCTGGGTGCACGCTCTCTACCTCTGCAGCCCTTTCCAACAGAAGCCTTCTGAGAACTGCAGCTTTGAGAATGCATCTAAAATGCAGCCAGTGGTTGTAGGAGCCAGGAGAAGGCTGGTCAAGACCAGAGACTCACAGAAAAGATGGACACTCTTCTCTCAATGCTGTCTGTCTGTCACATGACAAGTCACCTCTAATCAATCTGCCTGGCAACCACTTGTCTGGGACTCAGAGACAAGAGAACAGGAGGCTCACCTCTAAGAAATGAGCATCATGGAGCTCCATTCAAACAGGTTAAAGTAGCTCATGGGAAAAAAAAAAAGTTTGGTCCTGTTAACAAGAATCTGACAGTCCACCCCACATCATGGCTCACGCTAATATGCCCCTATGACATCATCTACTCCGTGACGTCACTTCCCATCCATCCACACCTCTGGCCCAGCAACTGCCAACCAGACATATCCACGTGGATGTCTAACAGGTCCCTCCAACCCTGGCAGACAGGGAGACCATGGATAATTGGGGCAATAACTGATACATTTAAATTAAATTAAAAAAAAAAAAAAAAAAAACATTGCCGTCGAGTCGATTCTGACTCATAGTGACCCCATAGGACACAGTAGAACTGCCCCACACGGATTCCAAGGAGCGGCTGATGGATTCAAACTGCTAACCTTTTGGTTAGCAGCCGAGCTCTTAACCACTGCGCAACCAGGGCTCCAAGTTTAAATCAGGGGATGGCAAGTGTGCGTCAATTCTGACTCATAGCGACCCCATGTGACAGAGCAGGACTGACCCCATAGGTTTCCTAGGCTGTAATCTTTACGGTAGATTGCCAGGCTGCTGGCTGAATTCGAATCACCAATTGCTCGCTAGCAGCCGAGCACTTAATGTGTGTCTAGGTGCTTACTTTCTTTGAAACCCCAACCGCAGTTTTCTTCTCAACTAATTTTTTTTAGGCTAATAATGAGCGCTTATTAAAAATTTACAGTGTATAATAGCCACTCAGAGAATTTTAGTAAAGAATTATGTATTTGTAGAAAAAATACAGGTGGCACAATCAAATACGCTGTTTTTCTGCGCAGCCCCTGCCTGGAAGAACGGGACCCCGCTCGGCACAGCTGAGCCCCGCGGCCACAGGCACTTGTAGGAGTGACGCTCTGTGCACTTCAGGCAGGAGGAAGCTTCCGCCTGCACCCCACCGGTGTTTACACAGTACCTGCCGACTCAGCCCAGAGCAGAGCAGGCGTGAAAACATGAACATTTGAAGCAGTGGTCCTGAAACTTCCAGAAATGAAAATGCTCATAGGCACGTGCGCTGAAAATTTCTCACTCAGGACTTCAGAGACCCTCTGAGGCCCAGCTCATGCACTTCATGAGTTAAAAACTGCTATTTTAAAGTGACAGAAGATTCCCAGACGCTCTTCAAGAAACTCTTGATCAGAGAGCTGAACAAACGAGCAATCAGTGCCACAAAAGAACAGTTGTTTTTCAAGAATATTAATGATTAAAAATAACAAAAACTACACTAGCTCTGTGTAAGGAAAGAAAAGCTGTAAGCCTTAAAGTATCGGATAATCACTAACCCTTCCTGGTCACTTTCTCTAAGCTAGGAACTGTGCAAAGAGCTTTCTGTACAGCGGTGGTTCCTTTCATCCCTCCCACAGCCGTGGGATCCCCAGGTTTCTGTCAAGGAACAGGAAACGAAGAGAGGTTAAGACACTTGTCTAAGGCCACACAGAGTGGCAGAGTCAGAATTTGACCCGGACAGTCAGATCCCAGACATTGTGCTACACTGCTGGAGAGAACACCTCGATTTTAATTTTAGCTTTTAATTTGCAAACAACCCTCCACCTCTCTCCCTGGGCTTCGGGCACACTGCCTCCCTTAGTTCTCCCAACAGACCGACATCCTCATCTCCGTGTTTCTGCGCATGCTGCTCCTACTGCCCGGGACACCCTCACCTCTTACACCCCCGCCATCCCCCTTGAGGGTTGGGAGCCAAGAGGGGCTCCTTGACTCTGGAAAAGGCCAGTCTCCTGCTGCAACCTCTCCTGGAGCCCTGGACTCGTCTTCCCTCCCTCCCTCAAGCCATGACGGTGCTGGCCTGGGGTTCTGTGATTGTTTGAAGTCTGTCTCCAGCCACCCTGCAAGCTCCACGAAGCACCCAGCATAGTACCTGACAAGTCGGAGGTGTGCAACAAAAAGTAGTGAAATGAAGGAATGACACCACCCAGAGAAACTTTAACGAGTGAAAGAGATGACTGAAAAAATGAACTGACCCCTCATGATCTGGCCACCACCCTTCCTGGACGCCAGAATGCAGCCCATGTGCTCTCGAGTTAGGAAAGATTCCTTGGAGGGGCGCACAAAAAGTATGTGTCGTAAGAGAAAATACTGATGAACTCAACATCATCAAAATTAAGAACTTTTGCTCTTCAAAACACACTATAAGAAAATGGAATGTCAAGCTACAGACTGGGAAGAAAATACTTGCAAAACACTTATCTGATAAAGGATTTGTATCCAGAATATATAAAGAACTCTTAGCACTCAATAAAAGAACACAAGTCAACTTAAAAATTAGGCAAAAGATTTTTTTTTATTGTACTTCAGATGAAGGTTTACAGAACAAACTAGCTTCTCATTAAACAGTTAGTACACATATTGTTTTATGACACCGTTAACAACCCCATGACATGTCAACACTCTCCCTTCTCGACCATGGGTTCCCTATTACCAGCTTTCCTGTCCCCTCCTGTCTTTTCATGCTTGCCCCTGGGCTGGTGTGCCCTATTAGTCTCATTTTGTTTTATGGGCCTGTCTAATCTTTGGCTGAAGGGTGAACCTCAGGAGTGACTTCAGTACTGAGCTAAAAGGGTGTCCAGAGGCCATCTCTCAGGGTTTCTCCAGTCTCTGTCAGGCCAGTAAGTCTGGTCTTTTTTTGTGAGTGAGAATTTTGTTCCACATTTTTCTCCAGCTCTGTCTGAGACCCTCTACTGTGATCCCTGTTAGAGTAGTCAGTGGTGGTAGCCAGACACCATTTAGCTGTGCTGGACTCAGTCTGGTGGAAGCTGTGGTAGTTGTGGTCCATTAGTCCTTTGGATTAATCTTTCCCTTATGTCTTTGGTTTTCTTCATTTTCTGTTGTTCCTGATGGGGTGAGACCAGAGGAGTATCTTAGATGGCCGCTCACAAGCTTTTAAGACCCCAGACACTTTTAAGACCCCCAAAGTAGAATGCAGAACATTTTCTTTATAAACTCTGTTATTAGCCAAAAGATTTTAATAGACATTTCACCGAAGAAGATATACAAATGACAGTTAAACACAGGAAAAGATGTTCAACGTTATTAATAATTAGAGAAATACCAATTAAAACCACAATGAGATAACAATACATATACACTAGAATGGCTATTAATTAAAAAAAAAAGAAAAATAAGTGTTGGCAAGGATATCAAGAAAATGGAAACCTCATTCATTGCTGGTGGGAATGTAAAATGGTACAACAATTAAAACAGTTTGGTAGTTTCTTCAAAAGTTAAATATATACTTACCACATGACCCAGCAATCCCACTCCTGGGTATTTACCCAAGAGAAATGAAAACATATGTTTACACAAAGATTTGTACTTGTATGTAACTATGCAACTTTCTTCATAATAGCCAAAAGCTGGAAATAACAAAAATAACCAACAACTGACAAATAGATAAACAAAGTGTTTTGTATCCTATACCATGGAGTACTCCTCAACAACAAAAAGGAATGAATTAACTCAAAGAAGAAACTAATCTACAGGACAAGTAGTCTACATGAACCATGACCTCACCTATCATGAGATCAGAAGAAGTACATAGTGCCCAACAACCGCTACCAACCATTCTAATCAGGGCTACAATAGATGGACCCTGATAGAATGGAAGAAAAATGTGAAACAGAACCTCAAATTCCTAAAAAATAAAAACAAAACAAGAAAACCAGACCTACTGGACTGGTTGAGACTGAAAGCCTGCCCAAAATTACTGCCTTGAGATACTCTTCAGACTCTGAACTGAAACTAACCATTGAGGCCACCTTGTAGCTAAATATTTGGTGAGACTGGCTTACAAAATAATGAATATCACCCATAAGCACTCTGTTCCTTTAAAAAAATCATCTATCCAAGACTAAATGGTCAACAATTACTTTAAAACAAAGATGAGAAGGTAAGGGGGCAGGGAAACTCAATTAATGGAAACGCAACAACCAGAATGGAAATAATGAGAATGTTCATGCATTGTGAAGAATGTAACCCATGTCAATAAACAACTTGTGTAGAAACTGTTGAATGGGAACCTACACCACTGTGTAAACCTTCACCAAAAACACAATATTATTAAAAAAAGAAACGAACTACTAATATATGCAACAGCATAGGCGAATCTCAAAACATTATGCTAAGTGAAAGATGCCCAACACAGAAGATGTCACACTGCATGATTCTGCTTCAATGAAATTCTACAAAAGACAAAAATAGAGCAATATAAGGCAAGTCAGTGGTTGCTGGGATCAGGGGTGGTGAAAGGCACAACAGCAAAGGGACACAAGGGAAGGCTTGGGGGTGCTGGAAATATTTTATATCTTAATTGTGGTTGCGTGGTTCTGGTCACACAACTCTTAGCTATTTGTTAAAACTCATCTAATTGTACAATTAAAATTAGTGACTTTTACTGTATGTAAATTACCTTTCAATAAAGGTGACTTAAAACAAACAAACAGAACAGAAACAAAGATGAGCAGAAGACATAAAATCTGTCCAACCTTCTGTTCCTCCCAAGCCTGGTCTTACGGAGGCTAGAATGACAATCCCATCTATTCGGCAAGTTGCAGCACAGCTGGGATGAAAACAACCCTTAAGTGTTTCTAACTCTCTTT